TTTGGAGGCAGTAGTATGTTTTTTCTTTAATTTGTAGAAAAATTACTATTTTAACCTCCCAAATGGGTTAACCAAAACAATATTCCCGTTAATAAATATAAATATTATATTCTATAATGAATAAACAGAAGAGTTAGACATGACAAGTTAAGATAAATGAGTCAGCATATTATTAGCGTTGATAATAAACAATTAAATAAATAAAGTCAAGTTGGGTGGGGCTAATGGCATGTTAAACCCACAATCAATATAATCACATGCACAAAATCAGTGGCTGATGCTATTAGTATTAGATTAGTCAGCTGTCTGAGTCGAACTGGGCCCCAGGTCCGTACACTATTATTTTGCCAAGTGGACTATTTGGTATTATGTTGCTGCCGACTGATGAGGAAAAATAGAAAGAAAACAATTATTGAGCGAGGAAAGTCAGATAAAAGAAACAATATACTCAATTTTGTCTGTCCACTTGTTTGAATAATTTCGATAGAATTGGCAAATAGCAGGGCAGGAGCCAAAATGGATATTTAGTTAGGCACGTATTTTTGGATCTAGCTTTTTTTTGTTTGTTTTGACGATAAATATTTCGAATGAAATGATATTAGGGTAAATTGTATGTTTAGTTACCGAGATTACTAATTATAGTGGACTATTTGGTATAATGTAGTTGCCGATTAGGGAAAAAGAAAATAAATATTGAGCCCACATCTACCATGGTCGAAAGTATTGGTACGTCAAGATACAAACTGAGCGTGTATTATAATTTTAGTACGAAGAGATATCGATACAAACTAAATTTGTACTATAACGTTAAATGTACAAGTTCAGTTTATACCATATAAATTTTTTTAAAAATGTATAATTACAAACTAAACTTTTATCATTACATTAAAAATACAAATAAAATTGATATCATAATTTTTTTAAAGCACCAGTATTGAAGCATTGTAAAATTCTTCTGTCAATATTTACGTTGCCTTTTTAACTTGTAGCCGTGTAAGTTTGGGTGTTAAGCTAATAGATAGAGACTATTCCTAGTCAATAATAGGAATATTCAAAAGCTATGGCTGGCTGGAGGTGTGGAAAAGTCGCCAATGCGTCCCACTGAACAGCTAAAATTGATTGGAGGAAGCAGAAATAAAAGAATAGAGTCAACTATAAAACTAAGGTTTTATGCAATTTATCTTGCAATATTTTACATTACTTCTTGCGAGAGATACTAGATGAAAATTATTTTTTTATGTTAAATTCAGAGTCTCGATCTAACGATTCAAGTAAGAGCGTAAGAGCATAAGGAATGGAATAAATAAATACGATTACTTGTTGCTTTTAAGAAATTTTTATGATCGTGTTCTTATATTTTTCAACTCCAGGAACTATATCAATGATTACATGGTTACATAATAATTCGACCAATTATTTCGTCATGGTTTATCTTATGGCTATTTTTGTTGTGCCATTGGTTTGAATAGATAACTACATTTATTTTTATGGTTTAAGTAAATATCTATATTGTTTATACAAGTCCATATATTTTTTAGGTTATAGTTGCGGTTGACTTTAGATTGTAAAGTCAGAAGTCAATATTGAAAATCCACTTGCATGCACTTCAGAGACATGCATAAACAAAGGGTAGATTGCAGATAGGAAACAAATATCAATGGATTTAATATAAGCATCAGCGATGAGGGTCGTGGTTGAATGGAATTGAATGAAATAGATTAAAATCCCTACTTGTACTTTGAACTGAATGTCATTTCTATATGTATAGGACTGGATTTTCATTCAAACCTTCATTCATTCCAATTTCCAATTATATATATGCTTTTGTCTTGGATGTTTTTTTTTTTCATTCAATGCACTCGCCTCATAATCGTCATTTTTAGCAGGCGATTCATATTAAAACGGTGTTAATCATCACTTGTGATATGATGGACAAAAAAGTGCATGAATTAGCACAAAAAATCATTCAAATTTTACTTTGATTTGAATGATTAAGTGGTCAGGATTCAGGAATCTATAGTTAGGGTTTGGGGTTAGGTTTCAAAATTGATGGTTTAGAGCTTATGGTAATGCGTAGTTGTGATTATGTATTATATCATACTAATGTTATCAATTAGAATCCAAAATTTGATGTCTTAACGTTAATTTTAGAGACAACACACTCATTTTTGTGATTACACGGAAGAAATCACTATATATATATATATATATATATATATATATATGGTGACTACTTCGGTGCACTCATAAAAATGAGTGCGCTCAATGCACCCAACTCAAAAACTAGTCTTAAGGTGTCGGATTTTGAATTTTAATTTGTAGAATTAGTGTAATATGATGATATAACAAATGATAACAACTAATTAGTGGATTATCCTAAGCCCTAGACCTCCATTTTTGAGTTCTATCCATAAATCCCAAATTGTAAACCCTAACCCTAATCCTAAATCTCTAAACTCTAAATCCTTCAAATTAAAGTAAATCTTCATTGGTTTTTGTGCAAATTCATGTGCGTTATTGTTCATCACATCATAAGTGATGAATGACATCATTTTGACATAAATCGCATGTTTAAAATGAAGGTTATGAAGTGAGTGCACTGAATGCACCCAAAAAAGTGAGTGCACCGAAGACGCCACCATATATATATATATATATATAAAAGGTGATCAAATGCAACATCGTTGAAATAGCTAGTTTCCACCTGTGAAGCATTTGAATTGAGAGTCTCATAAATATTAAGCATGTCATATTAAAACTAACATATACAGATGTGGAGGGTCTATGATATGACAAAACTAAAGGAAAATCTGGACTAGCTAGGTAAATAGCTGCAAAATGATTTTGCCATGCATGATGAAGAGGAAATGAAACCACCAAAAGCAATCTCATATAATTTCTGTTGCACTACTTTCTCAAATGCAATGAAGACTGAAGAGTAGCAGGGTTAATATGCCTTTTATGACACTCTCGAGAAGCACTACCGAAGCAGTAAAAGAAAGCGAGTGGCTGGGCTGTCTGCAATCTGCAGCAGGCGGGCAGGGCAGCAACCAACCAACCAAGTAAATCAGTGGTCAAAAAAGCCTGGACCGGTCGGACCCATCGTCAGAATGTGAAACCATGCATCACAGATTCTTTCTGCTTGAATTCTCAAACTTGGGGTACAACAAGTTGCAGCCAAACCGTGTTGCCCCAATAAATAGAGCGCCAGTGAAGAGAAAGGAGAACAGCAGAACTGAAAGTGAAGGAGAAAGAAAAGGAAGTTGACTATTTTGGAAAGTTAACGTCGGTTGGTGGTTAATTATTATGTTGTCAGTTGCAATACTGTTTCTAGGAAGACAAAACCGGCGTTGTTTTCAGACTTGAAAACTGAACTGGTATTCGTACATGTGGGCTGTGCATTAGTATATCTGTGATTAATTAGTTACCAGATGCCGCTTAATTGGTGATATTTTAATTACAGAGGAGTTCTGGACAAGAAAAGTGGGCGATGACTGCTGGTTCTGTTTTGGTTTGTTGCCAGTCTTGGAGAAAACAGTTGTTTACTTAAGTTGGGTAGGTGAAGGGTGGGATTTTTATTTTTATGAAACTTGAACGGGATTTAATTGTAACTTTTAGGTCAAGGATGTTCCATAAATGAATATCCAAATATGCAACTATAATAGTTAATACTATACTTGGCAATAATATTATAGGGCTAGTTTGGCCCCTTTTGGTTTTTTCAAAAGCAGTTTATGACTTGAGCATTTAGAGAAGTACTTTTAAAAAAAGGCAGTTGAGTGTTTAGCTGTAAAACTATTAGAAGTCTTTTTTTAAGATAAGAGACCATGTAAAATTAGTAAATTACTAAAAATAATTTCTAATATAAATTAAGAATACAAATTCTAAGAAATAAAATATAGTCAAAATGGATCTTGTTGTTTTTTTTTAGCAATAGACAATGGCATTACCAAATCAAAGATATCAAAGTCTTACAAACAAAGTCTACAATCCAAAAAGAAACCAACGATCAAAGTCAAAACACGCAATAACAGCAGGTAACAAAGAAAGGGTCTTCCTGGCTACGTCATGAGCCACCCGATTGCCACTCCTGCCAACAAATGAAACACCAAAAGCACGATACTGCCGCCGCAACCCTTCAATCTCCTCAAGAATTCGCCCACCCTTCACATCCCGAGCCTCCTGCCGCTGAATCTTCTCAATAACCCCCTTGGCATCCCCATAAAACCACACTTCATCAAGCCCCTTCCCTGAACACCACTGGATTGCATCCCGAAATGCAAGCAACTCCACTAGGAAAGGATCAATGATACCTGCATACTGGAATCCCTTAACCATACACACCCGCCCCATACCATCACGGACAACCAAGCCCCCCGCACCATGAGAACCTGGCGCAACCGCCCCATCCACATGACAAGAAAACGGCAACACCACCTGCTGCGATTGACCCTGTCCCCTTCCCCCTCCCATACCTCGATTCTGCGACTGCAGCGCCTGAACTTGCCCCGGCTGGATGAACGCCAACCATTCCCTCACCTGTGCCTCGTACTGACGAACTAAACACGGAATATCATACTGTAAATGCTCAAAAACCACCCAATTCCGGCTCTTCCAAATTCTCCACAGCAAGGCCACCATGCGTACAATCCTCTCCGTCCCAGCATCTTGCTCAACCATCTGACGGAAGAACAAAACAAAATTAGATCCTCTGTCATCCCTTCCAAAAGCATCAATGGTTATAACGCTCCCGCTCCACGAATTGGTTACCTAAGTTCGAAGATGAAGATATGAGGACCTAGATATAACTTTTGTATAGTTATAGAATTACTCTGTAATGCTTATTTAATTTTTATACTAATTAGGATTTTAGATTTGGGATTTATTATGGATCTGTAACTATACAGTTAAGATTAAGCAGCTAATATAGACCATACAGTTGATCATAAGTAAAAATTATTTAGTGATTAACCGATAATCGAATAAATGGTTACAATTATAGCCGATTTACTAACAACTCTATAGCTTCTCTACAAAATGTGATGGGCCGTTATCTCATGATGAAACATACCCCTGGATTGCGGAACAAGCCCATGCGGAAGGCCCAATATTTAGAACATCACAAACAACAAGTAATCAAAAAGGATAATCAGACTGTCCCCCATGGTTACAGTAAGCTAGAGCCATCTAATAATATGAAGTTACGAAAAGCAAAGCAATCAAAAAGGAAGCCCTCAGCAAACCAGAATGTGACATTCTGCCCACCCAAGAAGAACCAAACAAAGAGCAACCAACTCTCCTTTTATGGTGCATACAAAATAAATTGCTGTAAAGCCATTTTCAAGATGAGACTACAGGATGTTGACAATTCACATTACACAGCAGCAACAGTCCCCACAAAGCTGCACAAATGGTGGTGAGTTACACAAGAATGGGAAGCCTTATCCAATTTGCTTTTCTTGGCCAGTGGGGAATCCAAACAAACCAAAAAAATTGGTGCAATGTGTAGTGCAAGATACATTGCACCATCATCATCAATTCATCATATAGACAGTTTTCTGTGTGTTGTTGTATAAAGGCTGTATTCATGCGGTACTTTCACTGGCCCCATCTGTTCCCCCATGCAACGGATTCCAAAACTGGGGAAGGGAAGGAAGCAAAGGTCAGATCATCTTACAGCTCAAACGGCCACCTTGCTTTCTTGGCTAACAACTTTCCACTAGTCGCATTCTGGGTCCGCCGTCGTCTCCGGTTCATTCTGATCCAGTGTTCCATTTGAGTTGTGGTGGGGTGTCGTAAAATCTTGTTGCTCAGATAGATGAATATGTTTATCCTCGTCGGATATTTGACTTGGGTTAGTTAGTTGGGACCTGGTGATGATAATGCCTTGGCATGTTGACTCTCCATTTCCAGAAGCATCAACGACTTCTGTCTTTGGTATCTGTTCCTTTTTGCTGCCATTGCTGCGCAACAATAACACAAGGTTCAGGAGCAGGGAGTGAGTTGCAGTATTTCATATTTCTGTGCATGAACAAAAATTCAGCAAAGAAAGCTTCTTAACATGGTTGAATGTATCTACTCTGCTTCAGTCTCTAGGGCTGTACATAACAGGCCAGACCTTCCTAGGATCCAGGTGCATTCAAGTTCTTAATAAGGCGGAAAGCAACATCTGGGACATATTCAGGCTCCGACTCTTGCTGATTTTATTATGCTGGCTTTAGTCGGAATACTAGGAAATATATCCAGTAGAGCAACAAGCACATTGGTTATTGACATGCATGGTCGGATATGTATGCAAAGGCCAATACCAAGCAAACTTTCTGTATAAAGATGAATTGAGCTTAGACGAGCAATAGAAAACTCTATGCTATAGCGAATCTTGCCACAAACTAATTCTCAAAATCAAGGTGAGGTCCGTAGCAGATGACAGCTTCAACCTCCAATGAATTGATTGGCTATTCAACATTACTACAGATGGGAATTTCTAGCGCAGGCAACCAACAATAATATACATTAATGGCTACTCAATAGGTCTGCAGAGGATTTCTACGGCAAGCAAACAACAATGGTAAAGTTCCTGGATTTATACTGAATGAAATCTATGCCACTTTTTGGAGAGTATAAAAGCTTATTCTCTAGAACGATGATCTTAAAGCCAGATTTACCCACTACTTATGCTCTGCATGTGTTGTAAGAGTGGCAAATAACCTACTTGCGCCTTCACAATGCTTCCTAGTTAGCTTATCCCTCACTATCAAACTTATCAATAGCGGATCTGAGTATCCACTTAATAAAATAACTACCTATTTTGATAGCTGAAAATAACACACAAAAAAGTGGAAGGAAGAAGTCATATAGTTTAACCTGATGAGAGCATATTAACATGCAATAACCTGAAAAACTGAACTTCAAAATGTTCCAGATATCATGTATGCAAATCGAAGAAATACACTCGGAATTGTTTGAAATACTTACACATTAGGTCATGAGGTGGAGCAAAGTCATAATCATGTCTACTCCTTCTGATCCAGCATATGTAGATCACGAAAAGAATCCCAATGAATACCACAAGGCAAGCTATGGCGATACCGATTTTGCCACCCTTGGATAAGTGACCATTCTCCCACACTAAGGAGCAGTCTGGTAATGAGGGTACACCACACAAGCCTTTGTTACCTGAAAGGCTGCAAAACCAAGGTCCTCTTTCATTAAGTAACAAAATGACAAATCAGTTTTAAATGATTCAACCTTTTAAAAATCTTGAAAGGTAACCAGGGTAATACTAACAACAGAAGAAATAACCTTAAAATGAAACCACATAATATCTGTACAACGAATAAGCTACACTATCCAAAGGTCCAGCTCTATACTGATGGATGACCCCCAGTCCCAACTTCGAAAAGATTATGAGCTGGGGCACAATATCCGACAAGCTTTAATGGAGTCATGGTAGTAATTTTACCATCAACCTAGACCTTGACTTCTCCACAGCAAGTCACATCACCTTACCTCAAAGGCAATAGATGAGAAAAAGGACACGAAGGCCTACATGCCTTTGCACAAAAAGACACCTACTCAATGCACTGCAATGAAATTATGCTCTCGGTTGATGAACACTAAAATGGTACAAGCAAGCATGAGTCTGTTTTGGAATTCCAAAATCATACATGTAGTGACGATTACTTAGCTAGCTGGATCTCGTTTGGAACTCTCCATTGGCAAAGGAAAGTGAAGGTTTCTGACAAACCCATATGAAGAATATGGTAGAGCTATCTTTTAAGGACTTCTATATCAACAGAGGCTAGTCAGCATTGGACTTCAAACCTTACAGTTGGCTAGCCTCCTGATATAGGCACACGGGTTGGATTTTTCATGGTATACTAAGGTTGACGAGAAAATTTGCATGGTGACCTCGAGATCTCTGTTTTTCAATAAACGTTGCAAACGGTGCCATAATTTCAAAGACGAATCCGAAAAAGAACCAACTTTAATACGTTTCACATATTGTACGCGAAGCTTATGGTTTGAATATTTCAGGAAATACTACAGAATATTGCATATTCTGACACATTGGGAAAAGAGCTTACTTGATGGATCCACCATGCATACCAATAGAATAAAGTTCTTCTGAGACTCGCCCTTCTAATAGGTTATCATTCAATAACCTGGAGACAAAGTTAAAAAGGTCAATCCCATAGCCAAAGCAGTATGAGATTCAGTTCAGTGCTATGCATGTGGTAGAAATGTAAAAGCAGATTATACAATTCTTATCTAAAAAGATTATACAATGTTGCCCAAGCCTTTAACCACTAACACAAGTCGTCATCCAATCACCAGAAGAATAAGAATATCAGAAACACAAGTCCATGGCAGAAGCCAGGATAATGACAATTTTGTGGCACAGAGATCGTATTTCGCGAGCAAGAATTTAGCCATAAATCGCCTACCTAACATTCCCATGAGATGCGAATAAATGAATGAAGCGTATAGACAACATAAAATTTGAATTGACATAAATGTAAGTTCTGTAAAACTTTACAAACATGCATTGGAGGTAGAAACTGATACAGAGTAACCACTACATGAAGACAACTTACATTAATTTCAGACTGGAAGAAGTTAAACTTTCTGGTATGGGACCTGTGAACTGATTGTCTGATAAATCCCTACACAGTACAAACCCAAATCATAAGCAAGCATAGGAAAAAGTCACATAAATAAGCATGTGCTTCTCATGGTAAGTATGACTTCAAAATTGCGACTGCATTAAATAACTAAAATATGCGTGACGCATACAAGAGAGTTATGTACATCTATTAACCCAAAGCACAACATGGGAGTCTAGATATCATTTATCCACCAAGATGGTCAGAAGAATTTGAACAACAGATTAAGTTTGAAAATATTAGAACATCCCAGAAGCAAGGACCTAGATGATAGTTTGTGAAAAAGAAAAGACCTAGCGTGATATTTCCTGTGCTTAAGTTACATATCCTTAAATGTTAAGGTAACCTTCTCTCTCTTTAACATGAATCCAAAAGCAGACAAACAAAATAAGATCCCTGCCATATTTGCTTACTGCTTAGAGATCCAGAATACTAAATCAGAAACTTCATTATAAAATGTGTAGCCAGAAGAGAAAAAACTTATTCTATGACATAATAATACTTCGCAGGAAAAAAACCAAACAACATCCAATTGAGCATTAACTGCATGTTACTTACAGCCGGACTAGAGATTTATGACCGAGGCCATCAGGTAGGGTTCCTCCCAATGAATTGGCACTCAAATTCCTGCATATTTGAAGAACATTATGTAATTAATTATACTCATTTAGCTACCCTGAATGCATATAAGTTATCAATTCAGATAGAAAGCTTAAGTTCTCAAACTGTCTGAGAATCTAACATCAGCTTCTGCAGGGGAACCTGAGGGGCGGTAAGTAGATAATGATGGATACTGACTAGCAGTTGGGGAAAACTGAACATTACATATGCTGGCTTTCGGTACTAAACAAGCTAGCAGTTGAAAGCAGACAATAAAAGATACTGACTAGCACAGCAAAGATGATTTGTTGGAATTTTCGAAAGGGAAAGTCTTGTAGCAAAAGACAATTGCTTCTCTAACAGTAATTGTAGAAATAAGAAAATTCCTATTAGTATGTTTCCATTTTAAGCTTTACCATCACAAAGTAGAAAGCTCATTAGAATGTTGGTAGCAGATACTTACAGGTTTACCAAATTCGTAAGGAGACTGATTTGATCACTTATAAACCCTTTAAGGCCTTGACTGCCAAGATCTCTGAAAAAATTTAGGAGAACAAAAGCATAATTAGAGAGGACGAAAACCATGACCACATTCACAAGTTCCAGCCTTCCAGGTGGTAGGAGAAATGCTCACATTTGGGATATAACAAGGCCTGTATCGTTAATGTCTGGACGACATGTAACCCCTTCCCAAGCATCCCAGTTCGTAGGAGCACAAGGATCACCGTTCCAACCCATCCTATCAGGAACTCGGAGAGAGTCTTTCAATGCTTTCATGGCAGCCACTGCAAACAAACAGAAAAGCCTAATCAGTGAATTACATTTCTGAGAACAAGAATAGCCGTCATCACCAACCCCACTCCACAGTTATCCATGCATGACCCTCCCTCAAGCAACTAAGTAGCATGCAATTTGATGATTCCAAGGAAAGAAGAAACCCCAATTTGGACTGACTGAGTGCAGCAAAACCAAGTAGCAATGGCCGTTCGAACATACCTTGCACTGGCAAAGTGGCAATATCATTGGGAACAAGAGCGTAATTCTCAATCCCGCTAATAATAGGCGTGCCACCAGCTACCGGCACCAGCTTCACGCTCAGAGTAGTGCTGCTCAAGTTATGCACAGTGTAGCTAAAACTGTAAGCTGCGAAGCTCCCCACCTGCGCAAATACATCAACTCTGCCGGCGTTCTTCTCATTCACCAACACATCGAAGACTCTCTGCCCCTTCTTGTTGACGCTGGACTCAATCTCAGCGAAATGGAACCACAGCAGGTAATCCATCTTCGCGTCCACCTGAATTTCATACTCCAGCACTCCTTTCCCGGTAACCGCCGTCTGATACAGCTTCATCGGGAAGTAATTAGGCGCCCGATTGACCCCCGAAATCGACTCCCTGGTAGAGACGGCGCTGACAATTTTAGACGTGTTGGGAGTGCGGAGCTCTTCGTCTGACTGCCACGACCGGCCGAAGTAATCGACGTCGTTGGTGAAACCCGGCCCCCATTGGTCGCTCCCGCAGGACAATCGGCCGTAATTCACCAAAATAAACCGGTCGCCGAGGTCGCCGGCGGAGTAGGACAGCGGATCGACCTGGCGGATTTCGAGCGAGCCGATTACGGGAGGGTCGGTGGCGATGCTGTAGAAGCAGACATCCGCCTCCCCGTCCTTGACGAAGGCGAAGAGATCGGAGTAGGCGCCGTCGCGAGCTAGGGATTCGGGCCAGGGGGAGCGCCAGGAGAAGACCAGAGTGCCTTCCACTGAAGCGTCGAAGCTAGGGGAGTGGGACTTGCCGTCGTAGTTGTCGTAGACGGTGAAGGTGCGGAAGTAGTAGCGGCCGGAAGGGAGCGGGAGAATGTAGCAGTTCTTTTTCCCCGATGAGAGCGGGAAGTAGCGGAGGGTCTTCTCCTGCGGGTGGCGGAAGTGGAGCGGCTCGGAGACGACGGTGGCGGATCCGCCGGTGTAGTAGCGGTCGGCGAGCCAGGTGGTGTTGAATGGATCGGTGACGTTGGTGGGGCCGCCGCAGTCAATGTGGTAGGCGATATCTGCTCCACCACACACAAGAACGAAAGAAATCATCAAACAAAGAAACAAGAAAGCCATTAATCGTAGCTACCAAGCAGGCAAGCATAGTAGGTGAATTACCGAAGGGCGCGGCGGAGAGAGCTGATTGGAAAGAAGAGAGGAAGAAGAGCAGAGGAAGGAGATGCATGGCGATGGCGGTGGGAATTCAAGGAGGAGGAATGGGGAAGTGTAGTGTAGAACAGTGGAGTAAATAGAGCTAGAGAGAGAGAGAGAGAGAGAGAGAGAGCAGGAATTGAAGGAAGGGAAAGTTGGGGGAGTAGTAGACTAATATCTACACTACGGTAATGGATTTTTGGGTCTGCAATTCGATTTGCCAAAAATGGCGATGATGGAATCTAAGAAGAAGGAACAGAGAAGGGTATTCTGTTTTACAGAGCGGGAAAGGTGGAGGTAAGGGATTGGATTGGAGATTGATGGTGAAGTGATGAGGTCAAAAGGGGAGAATGCTGGCGATGCATTATGGCTAATTTTTGTTTTCATTAAAGCAAGTTATTGGTTTACTTCTTAGTGAAGGTTTCTATGTTGCACTCGCAGAATTTTATTATCTTGATCATATAATACGACGGTACGAGTCGCATCTAATATCGCATAATTATCATTAAAATGATCAAATGTTCTAGATATAACAATATTACATTACAGTTAATTGTTAAACACAAGTTTCGAATAAAGATTTGGTCTAGTAGTAATACAACTAGTCCTGATTCCTGAACTTGGAGGTCTGCTTATCCCAAATTTGTCGTTCATAAATCTAAAAGACTGCATCATTTTGATGTGATTTTGGTCTTCCTTAAATCGTTTAAAGCTATAAAAAAAACATCACTCAATGTAAAGCTAATACACATCTCCATCAATTTAAGTATACATTATCAAGATTTTGAGTCATGTTTAGTGTTTACTCAATGGTCCTCGTGCACTCTTAAAATTCAAAATCTTCAGCAATTTAGCTCCATTGGCCGATCCCACTAGCCACTAGGCATCTTATTGGATCCAATCCAAAAAACTTACAGGCCCAATTTAATTCCACCCCATGATTTAGCTACGACCAAACAATATGCAACGGAGGATAAACAAGAAAGCCCGGCCCAAATCCTCACCTGTTGACGTGTCATTCATAGCGCCTATCTCCTCGTCCTCGCGCGCCTTCCTCGTCCACAAAAATTACCTGTCATAATAAGTCATAACTGTCCACTACAAATTATGAAACAATGCCCAAAAAATCAGCCTGGAATATTTGTACACAAGAAATTCCGCGGAAACTGGTGGTGGAAAAGTTTACTTGCGAACCGCTTTGAACTTGCACGGCCATGGCTGCGGTGGCTTCCGGCGGAGGCGCGGCCGGTGTTGTACCGGTGAAACTCCAGACCCACAAACCCAGTTACAAGCTCCAATCTTCATTTCTGGGCAAAAGTCAGCTCAATCTCATCAAACCCAGTTCGAGGAACAAAGCTAACCCTAGTCCCAGGCGAGCAGGAGGAAGGATCGGAGTTTTGGCGTCGGTGGGAGTAGATGGGGGTCACGAATTGGTTAGTTTGGTGCACAATTTCTTTTTGGGAGTTGGGGTTGGGCTGCCCTGCACAGTGATGGAGTGTGGGGATATCATTTACAGAAGCACTCTGCCAAAATCCAATGCGCTGACCGTCACAGTTCCTGGCGTTGCTCTCGCTCTCAGCGTCGTGTCTTACCTTTGGGCCACCCCTGGCGTGGCTCCTGGCTTCTACGATATGTTTGTGCTCGCTTTCGTCGAGCGACTCTTCAGACCCAGTTATAAAAAGGTAGTCGTTTCCTTAATGTGTCAATAGTTATTGATTGGGCTGGTGATGGGTTATCAAGGTTAGAGATTGGTTTTCAGGATGATATTGTTCTGGGGAAGAAGTTGGGGGAAGGAGCTTTTGGGGTGGTCTATAAAGTTTCGGTGGATAAGCCTTCTGCAAAGAAGGTACTCTCCAACTGTTTGATGAAATTCCTCTGTGAAAACCTTGGTCATAAATTGATGAGCTGATTGGGAAAACCAATGAGCTGTGATGTTTTTGTTGTTGTTGTTGACATGGTGGTGGTTATGGCAGAGGGGAGGTGACCTTGTGTTGAAAAAGGCAACTGAATATGGAGCAGTGGAAATTTGGATGAACGAGAGAGTTCGAAGAGCTTGTGCTAGCAGTTGTGCTGAATATTTGTATGGATTTCTTGAGGTGTTTGCTCTACTATGAAAGTTGACTACCGCGTAGTATAACTATCTCATGAGATTAACCGAATTTTGTCAAAGTAACTTAATGTTATTTCGCATTTGATTCATGCTTTGGGCATCTGGGATCACAATCATGGAAACCACTTCTCAGAACTCTTCAAAGAAAGGCAGTGAATATTGGCTTCTGTGGAGGTTTGAAGGGGAGGCTACTCTCTATGATCTAATGCAAAGCAGAGAGTTCCCCTACAATGTAAGCATGCTCTTTCAGTTAAGTCTAATACACTCTTGAAAGGGCTGCAGTTCCATAAGGAATGTTGTATTTTGCATCAGGTATAAGTTTCTAATTATACTGTCAATGGCAGGTTGAGACATTGATTCTAGGGGAGGTTCAGGATTTACCCAAAGGGATAGAAAGGGAAAATAGAATCATCCAGACTGTGATGAGGCAACTCTTATTTGCCTTAGATGGTCTTCACTCCACAGGGACATAAAGCCACAGAATATCATCTTCTCTGAAGGTGATGATTTCTTTGGACTTCCCATAGATGATGGTTTTATTTTTATTTACCTTTTCTGGATGACATAATTTACACTTTTGGATATGGTAATTGTTGGGCATAGGACTCGGGCCTAACCACACCAAGGAACCGGGCGCAACTGGATGAGACCCCAACACGGCAGCGCGAGGACCCCGAGTGTGCCGCCTCATCATGGCTAACCACGTCCAGGCGCGAAGAGATGACAGGCGCTAGGGGAGGACTAGCGTAGGCTGAACCAGAAGATGAGGGAAGCGCACCTCTTCCAAGCGGGTAGTCACATCAGGGCCATGAGTGGATCTCTGACTCATCCTAGGTAGAGGGATGGCCTAAAAGCCTTAGTGTGCTAGTGGTCACATCATTGTATCCCAGTAGTCACATCACTGTATCTCTCCCTATGTCAACCACTCACCCACCACCATGAAGCCTATAAATATGGCATTTACTACGGTGGGTGAGGGGATCGCATTTTTCACCATTCTCTCTCTACAAGAACTACTTCTCTTTCTAATCTCTCTCTTACTCACTCTCTCTGATTCTGATTCCTCCGATCAAACCCGGTTCTCACGTTTCTTCTCGACCCAAACTCTCATTCGAACCTCACTCCTACACTCAGTTAGGTTCAAACAATTGGCGCCCACCGTGGGGCCGAGAGGAAACGCTGAAAAAGACCCACCAATGGCAGAGCGCAATCTCGAACAACCTGACCAAGCAACGCCGATCAAGGCGATGACTGACCCAAGGGCGTTCGCAGAAGCCAGCAACCTCAACGCGGTACTCATCGAGGAAGAAGAACCGGAGCTGACGCCCAAAGAAATGAGGGAGCTGTTGACGAAACAAAACAACGTCATAGCCGACGTGCAGAGACAAATGAGCCAGGTAATCGCGCTCATGATGAGCAAGGAAGGCGCGCCAACGACGGACGCGACAGCGAGCGCGCCTCAACAAGCCTTGGGAGAAACTTCAGGGACAATCCTGTCGTCGCAACTCGCGCCAGCGGAACTTCCCGCACGCGGGACATAGGAAGTCGAACCACCGGGGCGGGCAGACCTCAGCTTCTTGGAGCAACACCTGACTCCGCAATACCGGCCCAACCCGCCCAAAAAGACCCTACACCAGCCATTGAGCGCGCAAATAATGGCAGAGAACCTAACCGGAGCGCCACCAACCCTCCCGACATACAACGGCACTACCGACCCGGAGGACCACGTGAGCACCTTCTGCCTGCGCATGCAACTCCAAACCAACTCCAACGCCGCGCTATGCAGAACCTTCCCCTCGACATTCACCGGGATATGCCTCGATTGGTACAACCGCCTCCCCAATGGAATCATCAACTCGTTTGAGGAGTTCATACTTCTGTTCACCACAAAATTCGCGTCCCAGAAGCGACGCCCCCTCCACCTCAAGGCCCTGATAGATATCAGGCAAAAAGACGGAGAAAGCCTGAGGGCTTTCTACGCCAGATGGTCCCGGGTAGCAATGTCCGTTCGCGACCTTACTCCCGAAACAGCCGCCCATCACCTCATGGAGGCAACCAACAATATGGAGCTCAAACGGGCCTTAGCAAAAAGGCCCGTCACGCTGTCGACGGAGTTGGAGATGAAGATCGAGAAGGCAATCACGTTGGAAGAAACCCTGGGGGCGGGATCCGTCAGGCGCTTCGAACCGGCGAGAATGTCGCGAGAGGAACAGACGCGTCGACAACCTCCGACCCCAATCCCACGGGACCAACTACTACAGATGCACAGTGGTCCGAAGCGCAACCCCCCTCCCCCACCAGAGTAGGGACAGCGCGGGCGATCGCCAGACAGGCGCGTATCCAATGCCTACACGCCCCTCAATGACTCCGTGAGAAACGTGTTCCACGTCCTCCGCGAGAAAGGATACAAGCTTAACTGGCCTGCCCCGCTGAAGTCTCAACCCTACATGCGCGACCCGAGCAGGCATTGTGAATTCCACAGAGCAACGGGGCATAAGACAGAAGAATGCCGAGATTTACGGTACGAAATAGAGGGCCTCGTACGACGAGGGTTGCTAACTGAGTTCACCCACGTGAAAAAGGAGCAAGTCGAAGCGCCGCAACAACCACCCCCACCCCCACAAGCCGATTACGACGATGACACAGGCGCGTATGTAGTGCGCAAAGAAATTGGGGTGGTAACGGTCGAAGGAGATCGTCCCAAGAAGAAAACCAAGCGTGAGCGCGCAACGGAATGCGCGGCTGTCGACGCACCGCCAAAGTTCAATCTGAGCTTCGGCGACGCGGAGTTCCCACAAGGAATCCCGTCGGAGGAGCCACTCATCGTCACCGCGCTGATTGCCGCCTGCAAGACCCACCGTCTCCTGATAGACGGGGGTAGTGCGGCCGACATCCTCTTCCAGAGTACCATCAACAAAATGGATATCGATCCGCGCCTAATCAGGCGCGCACACGGCAACTTAGTTGGTTTCTCCGGAACCAGAGTCCCGGTAATTGGAATGGTCACCCTCCCAGTGGTTATTGGGGACCAGGAGCCCCGCGTCTCCAAGCAGATAGAGTTCACAATCGTCGATTGCGAATCGGCGCACAATGGCATCTTGGGCCGACCTTTCCTCGCGAAGTTCATGGCCCTCCCATCGACGTGTCACCAGAAGCTCAAGTTTCCAACACAGGGAGGAGTCGGGGAGGCGCGAGGAACGACTTGGGAAGACCGCGTTGTGGCACGCCAAACCAACATCGTCGACACAAGAGCAGAAGAGCCCCGCCCGGAATCCATGGATTCCGATTTCGAGGTCGCGCTAGACCCTGCCGAGCCGACCAGGAAGATACGCATCTCCACTCACGTCAGCAGCGACGCAATCGAACCACTCATAGCGCTGCTGAAGGAGTACAAGGAGCTCTTCGCGTGGTGCACAGAGGACATGCCAGGAGTGCCCAGGGAGGTAGCGCAGCATAGCCTCGCGGTCCCAGCCGGCGCCGAACCAAGGCAACAAGGGCGGAGAACGTTCACCGGGGACAAGCTGAAGGCGATAGAAGAGGAGGTTGCGCGCCTGCTAGCAGCCGGATTGATCCGCCCCGTGAAGTACCCGAAGTGGCTGGCGAACGTGGTCCTGGTCAAAAAATCGTCAGGAGCCTGGCGGATGTGCGTTGACTACACCACAATCAACAAAGTATGCCCGGGAGACCCTTACCCCCTGCCGCGCATCGACCAGCTGATCGACGCGACCGCCGACCACGAGACGTTGTCCTTCCTCGACATGTTCTCAGGATATCACCAAATCCAAATGTCCAAGGAAGATGAAGAAAAAACGGCTTTCATGACACCTTTCGGGAACTTCTGCTTCGTAGGTATGCCGTTCGGGTTGAAAAACGCGGGCGCGACATACCAAAGAATGATCGACACAGTTTTCTCGCAGCAAATCGGGCGGAACATCGAGGCGTATGTGGACGACCTCATCGTCAAAACCAAGGCGGGTAAGTCACACCTGGAGGACCTGCGCGAGACCTTCGAAGCCCTCCGCAAGCACAGCCTTCGCCTCAATCCACTCAAGTGCGTCTTTGGAGCAGAGGCGGGGAAATTTCTGGGGTTCATGATAACCAAGCGCGGCATAGAGGTCGATCCGAAGCAAATCACCGCGGTCCAACAACTACGAGCGCCGCGGAACGCATTGGAAATCCAATCTCTGAACGGCAAGATAGCGGCACTGGGGAGGTTCATACCAAGGTCCGCTGACAAATGCGCGCCCTTCTTCCAGACACTCAAGAACGGGACGCGCTTCGCATGGTCCACGGAATGCGAAGCGGCCTTCCAGGAATTAAAGGCGTATCTTGTATCCCCCCCTGTACTGACCGCTCCCAAGCTTAATGAAAAACTTTTCTTGTATCTCGCCGTGTCAACAAGAGCAGTGAGCGCGGTTCTGATATCTAGGAGGGATGGCAGGACTGAGCAACCAGTGTATTACACCTCGCGCACTCTCGTTAGCGCGGAAACAAGATATTCCTCGATCGAGAAAGCTGCCCTGGCGTTAGTGAGCGCTTCGCAGAAACTGCGCCCGTACTTTCAAGCGCACCAGGTCACCGTCCTGACCAACCTACCACTAAAAAAGATTCTGACTTCGATGGAAGTGTCGGGACGCATGGTCAAATGGGCGGTGGAGCTCTCGGAGTACGATATTCAATACGCGCCAAGGCCAGCAATCAAGGCCCAAATCTTAGCGGACTTCATCGCGGAAGGGGTGACCCTCGAAACAACGCCGGAGGGCGTTTGGGAAGTCTATGTCGATGGAGCGGCGAGTAAGCATGGCGCCGGAGCAGGGGTTGTGGTGCGCACACCTGCCGGCGTAATGCACGAAATCGCAATCAGGTTCAGGGCGTTGAAGACAAACAACGCCGCGGAATACGAGGCCATCTTGGCAGGGATGACGGCCGCTCACGACCTCGGGGCAAGAACGGTGCGTATACTTTCCGACTCCTCCCTGGCGGTCAACCAACTGAATGGTGCGTTCGACGCAAAGGAAGACACACTGGCGCATTACATGGAGCGCGTTAAGCAGAGGGCCACAACGTTCGAATCAGTAACGTATGCACAGATACCAAGGGAGGAAAATGCGCATGCTGACGCGCTATCCAAGCTAGCAACGGCTACAGACTTCGAATCGACGCGCCTCGTGTCCGTCCAAAAAGAAGAAGATGAAACCACCCCGGGGGTAGCAGTCAACACGACCCAGCTCGTGCCATACGAAGATTGGAGACATCCAATTATGAAGTACCTCCAAGAGGGGGTGGTGCCAGAAGACCCCAAGCAAGCTTGGGCTCTAAGGCAAAAGGCAGCTCGTTGCACGCTTATCGAGGGAGAATTATACCGAAGGTCGTACTCGGGTGTATACCTCAAATGCATTGGGCAGGAGGAGGCGCACGACCTAGTGCGTGAACTACACGAGGGGCTGTGCGCAATGCACGCGGGGCCGCGCAGCATGGAGCGTACCATCCTTTTGCATGG